TTAGTTTGTTGTTAAAGATCGTTTAGTTTGTTCTTAAAGATCGCTTAGTTTGTTGTTAAAGATCGTTTAGTTTGTTGTTAAAGATCGTTTAGTTTGTTGTTAAAGATCGCTTAGTTTGTTGTTAAAGATCGCTTAGTTTGTTGTTAAAGATCGTTTAGTTTGTTCTTAAAGATCGCTTAGTTTCTGGTCAAAGATCGCTTAGTTTGTTGTTAAAGATCGCTCAGTTTGTTGTTAAAGATCATTTAGTTTGTTGTTAAAGATCGTTTAGTTTGTTGTTAAAGATCGCTTAGTTTGTTGTTAAAGATCGTTTAGTTTGTTCTTAAAGATCGCGTAGTTTCTGGTCAAAGATCGCTTAGTTTGTTGTTAAAGATTGTTTAGTTTGTTCTTAAAGATCGCTTAGTTTCTGGTCAAAGATCGTTTAGTTTGTTGTTAAGGATCGTTTATTTTGTTTTTAAAGATAATTTAGTTTTTGTTAAAGATTGTTTAGTTTGTTGTTAAATATCGTTTAGTTTGTTGTTAAAAATCGTTTAGTTTGTTCATAAAGATTGTCTGGTTTGTTGTTAAAGATCGTTTAGTTTGTTCTTTAGGATTGTCAAGTTTGTTGTTAAAGATCGTCCAGTTTTTGTTAATGATCGCTTTATTTAATCTTAAAGATCGTTTAGTTCGTTCATAAAGATCGCTTAGTTTGTTGTTAAAGATCGTTTAGTTTGTTGTAAAAGATCGCTTAGTTTTTTCATAAAAATCGCTCATTTTGTTCTTAAAGATAATTGATTTTGTTCCTTAAGATCGATTCGTTTTCTCTAACAGATCTTTTAGTTTGTTCCTAAAGAACATTAATTTTATGTTAAGATTGCTTAGTTTATTATTATAAATCATTTAGTTTACTATTAAAGATCATTTGTTTCGTTCTTAAAGATCATTTAGTTTGGTCTTAAAAATCGTTTAGTTTGTTCTTTAAGATCGTTTAGTTTGCTTTTAAAAATCGCTTAGATAGTTCTTAAAGATCGCTTCGTTTGCTTTAAAGATCTATTAGTTGTTCATAAATGTCGTTTAGTTTGTTGTTAAATATCGCTTTCGCTGAGTATTAAATGACCGAAAATCTGGGTCAATTTTGGCCGAAACCGAAGAAAAACCGAAAATTAACTTTTCTCTTTCGGCCAAACCGAAATTAAGCCGAAATTTAACTTTTCATTTTCGACCGAAACCGAAACTTGACCGAAAGTGCTAAAATGGCCTCTTTCGGCACCGAAACTTAAGCCGAAGCCAAAATTTGGTCGGTCTCTACTTGAGGCGGTCTTTTTTAATTCTGTACAATTAATAGAAACAGGTGGTGTTTGCGGAAGGGCAGTTTCGAAAAGAAATCAGGACAAGCACGACTCAAATAAAATATAAGAGACTAGATGTAGCCCACAAAACATTGGTGACAGCAATGCGTGAACATCCCATCTACTGAAGTTACTTGACGAAACATGAACTCAACTAACGAACATTTAAGAAACCCAATTGTTGCTATACCCCTCCCCCCCCCCTTTCCCCTCTTTTCAAGAAACGTCACGGAACACTTTTAATTTCACGCCAAACCGCGTCTTAGCATATGCCGCTAGCTTAGCTGGCATGCGAGTGTAGCGCAGCAGGGAGGGCGGTAACTCCACCGCAGTTTGCATGTGTTGAGACGAACGGTAGACGGCAAGGGAAGTGAGGGAGAGTTTTCCTGCGTCTTGCTTGCTCTGGCGTA